TATTAATATTAATCTTGTTTTTTTTTTGTTTTTTTTTCAAAAAACTAGAATTACCGCCTCGTGGTTGTATGCCTCCGCCAACCAATGAAGTTGCAGGAAATATGGTCACAATCTCCCCTTCCTTAGTTACAGTGTTGAATAATGGTCAGAAGTGTTTTCACAGAACATTATGATGTCACAGTGAAGTTGACCTTTCCCCATTTGGATATAAAATATTATCACCTAGATTTATCCTGCTGAGATACGAGTTAAATTGTGTCATGTAGTGAAAGACTTTGTGAGAGTTATGGCCCAAAATGTGTTTTGTGAGGTCACAGTGTGACAGAACTAATGATATTAACCTCTGGGCATTCCTGATACATTGCATTCGCAAGAAAACAAAGAAAAAAGTCCCTCAAGGCATTACTGAGATATCACGTTCACCGAGGTCACCGCGACCTTTGACCTGCAAAATCGAATCAGTTCATCCTTGAGTCTTAATGAATGTTTTTGCCAAATTTGAAGAAGTTCCGTTACGGTGTCACTGAGATACTGTGAACAATCCTTAGCTGCGGACCTAGACTTCACCATTTTGAATCATTGTTTCTCAGGTGGAAGGTGTAACAGTGTGAAATACTCTAAGCTCGTGTCATAATGGTTACTCAGAAATAAATCCTCTGCTTTCTTTGTTTGTTTTTACCTCTATGATTTGGTTTGGGAACATGAAAGTGATTTGAAGCCACTGACCCGCTGTTGCTTTAATTATGTGCTCCTTGTATTAAGACCCATTTATTTCAAGGCGGCATGAGTAAGCGGTAGTTAACTTTTGCCAACTGCCTCTCTTTGATTGGGCAGGATAATTCAGGTCATCTGTGCTGCCATAGACCAAGACCAGCTACAACTTTTTTTTTTGCCAATGCGCTTATTTGCAGTCAGGAAGTATTTTTTTTCTCAGTTTCTCTATTACAATAGAGTCACTATGGGGGCATGCATGAGAATTTGGCTCATTTTGAGCTCACAGACTAAAGTGAAAATGGAAGAGTGTAGTCATCTCTTCGGGGAACAATTAAGATAGAGTGCTATCTCTCTGAGAGTTTATCTATCTGGATGAAGTGTGGTCAGAGAGAGAAATTAATTCTTTTAGAGGATGATTCGTCAGCCTCTTTTGATAAACCGTTGGAGCGGGGGATGTGTACGGTCCGCTTTACTTTACACGTTCGTTAGTTCACTCTAGAAGAAGTGTTCCGTCCTGATTTCAAGTGGAACCAAGTAGTTTTGATAATATATTTGTAATGGCGATACAGATTCCAGCTTCACGCCTGTATATCTCACTAGACTTGATAAGCCAGTCATTATATTTCTAGCCCTTGCAGAACTGAAGCATTTGTATTCTGTAAATGGTTTGTGACAGAATATAAAATCCTCCTTCAACAAACTGTGCCGGTATTTCTTTTTACACAATACCAACTTTTTTTTATATCATATATACACAGTACGCCCCTCACCAGTCGGGATGTTTTGCTCACCTTGGCCTTTGATCAATAAATAAAGCTTTCGGGGGAGACGGAGTATTTGCCAAAACTGTTTTGGCACATTATTTAAGAAAGTGTTCGCCTCCTGCAAGGTGGCAACATGATTTTTTTTTTTTCCTTTTTCCATCAAGTGTCTGCTGGAAAGCCCCTCTTTCTAAAGTAAACAGATGGAGCGGGGGACCTCAGGTGGATACTGAGGTATTGTTATTCTATAAAACAAACAATAAGATCACACTCAGGGATGGGGAAAAAAAACACAGCTGGAGGCTCTCAATGATTCAAACTATACAGTAAGACATTTTGCACGAAAAAGCAATGTGAGAAATAACTGCTGCGAATGTTACTCGGCTTGGTTTTTATAAATTGCATGCCCAGATGTAATCCATTGTAATACATGATTGCCAAGAACCCTTGTCCCTGTGGCACAGTTTCTATTCTGTGGACGTGGACGCGTACGACAAACTATTTCCTGAAGCCCTGCTGCCACATTAAACACACACAGAGAGACTGACACACACTGCTTCCTGCCATCATTGATATTTTATGTTTTGTTCTCCAGCTGAAATATTTGTCACAGACTGTCACGCTGTGGATTTTGGCCCGAGGCTTTGGCCATTCGTCTGCGTGCTGACACTCCTGTAAATCACCGGAGCAGCAATTCCTATTTACAAGACTTTGGGCTTTTGCAGGGGATTGATAAAGTTTGTTTAGTATTACACTTCAGTAACTTAACAGCAGCTAATTGGCTGTAAACTGAGAGGGGAATGTTATTTAAATACACATTTGAATTTTTATTTGGTCTTCCTGGAAGGCTGTTATTGTCACTTGTTTAATAGAGACAAGGGATGCGTTATTCAGCAACAGCGTTCACTTCTCGTTTTGTTTTCATTATTCCTTGGAATCCCAGTAAACATTTTCTCTCATTTATAATCTTATCTTTTCTATGACATAAGCTATATCTCTGTGTCAACCTTCTGGAAACCTTTCCTAAACCATAAAAAAAAAAAAAAAGAGATAGATGATGACACTTACATGAATGTTTAATGATGTATTTTAAGGTTTCTGATTTCAACAAGCGCTAGATTAAAGAGATTACATGTGATTTACTGAAGATTTACGCCGTGCATCATCTCTATCTTAAGATTCATCTCCTGCTCTGCTCTTCTGTGCGCTAATCAGGCATGTGACACACACAAGGATGTGATGAGTCAAAAAATTGTAGTTGACCCGGTCGTGGGTGTTATTGCATATAAATGCAGGGATTCAGCCCCTCATGAAGAGTATAAGGGGAATACACAGTGTGGCTGAACGAAGGAATTAAATGCTTAAAAGATTTCCCGTTGTGATGGTGGCTGTGTAACAGTGGGAGGCATTTTTTACACTTTTAAATTGTCTTTTCATGGGACTTTATATTGAGGTTTCTGTAAGTGATGGTGTTTTCTCTATCTGGGGCATGGCGGCTCTCTGTTTTTTTTTCTGTTTATCTCAAACTAACTCCTGTTACCACTGCTAATTGCATGAATCACATTACTCCAGTTTTTCATTACCAAGTTATGTTAAATGGGAACTCTGGGTAGTCTGGGCAGCCTCAAGAGAAAGATTATGAGTGGTCAAAATCTTATTAAATTTCAGCTCTTAATGTGAGTTCGTGGCAAGGTTGAGAATCTTGAAATGGTTTATAGCGGTGTGGCGTGAACTGAACAGCGGAGATGAGATTCAACATTACAGCATCTCATAGACACGACAGGCAGCAGCTACTAAAAACAAGAGGTAAACCAAAGACAGTATATAAAGATGGACGTAGCCTTCATGCAGTCACCCATAGGTTTCTGTAGAGCGGTTTTGAAATTCAGAGTGGGCTGCTCTGCCGTAGCCATCTTGGCTAATCCAAAAATGGGCAAAGAGGTGGGGCACGTGGCCACAACCTCAATTATGCAACTTTAAGCCTTTATAAATTTCAATTCACCCCCCCCATACAGCTGTCACGAAGGGGGAAATTAGCTATAGAGACCATGTTTATTTCTACTGTAAAGCTGGACATTTTGACTTAGGAGTCTATGGGGATTGACTGGCTTCTGGAGACTCTAGTGGTCATTCCAGGAAATGCAGCTTTTGGCTTCATTTTTCAGCCCTGGAGGTAACCGCTTGATGAAAACTAATGCATTGATCATAATCTCAGGGTTTTTCTGGATTTTTTTATTTTATTTTTTTACATTAAAACAGTATTTTTACCGCAGCAACACAACATGGATTCCAAATCCATCAAAAGTTCACCAGAAATCGTTAAAAAAAAATAGGAAAGTAAAAAACAGTAGTCCTCCATGGAAATGGGTGGTATTCAATTAACAGAAATTAAGAATAGACCCTGATGATGACTTAGTCTCTCGATGCCTTCTGTGATTCTGGAGTAGTTTTATAATTGCTGTAAAAACTGAGTAGTATTTCCAATGAAAATAAAATCTGTAGTTTCCCTTTAACTGGCAATTGTGAGAAATAAAACTGGCATATAAATATATGGAAATGCCACAGGTTATTTCCTGGAGACATTAATTATTCTACTTTCAAGTACCAACAGCCCATCCAGTTCTTACGCATCCAACCAATACAGAACACCACAAGTGCCCTGGAGTCTTCTTTCTCACCACCACTGAATTCAAATTCAATAGTTCATTGATTTTAGTTCAGATTTGGTCCACCAAGTCTTGAGACAAACACTTGGCTCTTTAAATATCCTTCACTGTCCACAAATTTACCGTTTTGTTACAGAGGTTTTCTGGGCTACCTTAAAATCCGCTTGGCAGTAGTAAGAATACTTTCACATTATAGGGAGTTATATTTCATTTGATTTTATTATGTCAGCTCTTACACACAGGGGTTCAACAGTCATTTGAGTGTTTCAGTGTGTATCTTATATTAAGCTTTTTGTCATTCATTTATCTTTCTTTCTAAGAAATTATCAGACTGATGGGAATCTAGGAAACCACCTGAACACACAGCTACACTTTCCCCCTCGTGTGATAGCAGATCATATTCCTTATAGGTTAGGTTATTTTTGGCATTAAAGCTTTTCAGGTTGTGGCAGCTGAGAAACTAAGACTTCACAGGTTTAATTCATGGCCATAAAATTTTAAAAAATAAACAGAAGGCAGAGAGTACTGCCCTTTAAAAAATGTTGACAATTTGTTCCGATCTCAGCTCTTTATATTGATTTCATTTTGGCTCTTTATTTTATTATATATTTATTTATTTGTCATTTCACTGGTGGAATTTGTTCTTCTAAGCTGCCAACCCACATATAACTATGACTCAAGCATTGATGCGGCATAACAAATATGTCTTGGTGCGTGGAATATTTCCCACTTTCATATCCTGCTCTGCCGTAAGACTTCAGCTGGTGTGTGTGTTTGTGTGTGTGTGTGTGTGTGTGTGTGTGTGTGTGTGTGTGTGTGTGTGTGTGTGTGTGTGTGTGTGTGTGTCTTGTCTCTGCAGAAATCCGCGAGGCCTTCAAAGTGTTCGACCGCGATGGGAATGGATTCATCTCGAAGCAGGAGCTGGGAATGGCCATGCGCTCCCTGGGCTACATGCCAAACGAGGTGGAGCTGGAAGTCATCATCCAGAGACTGGACATGGACGGTGAGGCAAACGCACAGCCTGGATTTTATTATCTTAAACCACAAAGCGTAGAAGCTTTGCTCTCTATTCGCCCACAAAACTGGGCAGCAGTAGAGCCGGCAACAATAAACACCAACTTCTCCTCTTTCCCCCAGGCGACGGACAGGTGGACTTCGAGGAGTTTGTCACTCTTCTGGGCCCAAAGCTGACAGCAGCTGGGATGCCAGATAAGTTCAACGGCACTGACTTTGACTCCGTTTTCTGGAAGGTGCTCATTATTCAGTCACTCACTTCCTGCCTATTAGAGAGAAGATAGACAGCAGAGTCACAGCTGTAGCAAACCTCACAAGTGCAGAAACATTTAGACGCTGCCACAGTACGACTTTAAAGGAAAACCAGTTTTAATTGCCACATCCACTGTGTCTTTAATGGGAGCGTTTTAATCTTGGAGAGGTTTGGATTCCCTAAAGAACTCTATCCTTCATCAAGACCTTCATCTCTGCCTCTGTGTGTGTGTGCCGACAATCTTATTACTTAGAAGTCAATTTTTATGTAAAATAGATATTAATTTATTTACAGACACCTCATTAGATAATCAACAGCTCACTTTGACAGTGGGATGGAAATTAATGGGATGGAGCTTGTGTCAAACCCGCCTTTGCTGTAGTTATACGATAGAGCCAGAGTGGCTGTCAGAAAGTGAGCATCCAAACTGAGTGTTCGTGCACTCACACTGCACCAAGAATTCCCACAAATCCCCTTCTCTCGCACAACAAAGAATCACAACCAAAGACACCTGCTGGGAGAGTCAAGAAACCTGAGGGACTGCTGCTGCATAGCTTCACATAACATTATATAACTGAATAGTAGTAAGCATGTGCTGCTGCATTGATCACACAGAGCCTGCGGTCACACTGGTGAGCTGCAGCTCAGGCTGAGCTGAAAATCAAGGACATAAATATGCTTTCCAAACAGGCACAGAGCCTGGATTCTGTTTTTAGTGTTTGGGCTTAGTCATTCACATTTATTTTATTTTACTCAATTTTTACACAGTGGAATGTAACTACGTATATTTACTCCAAAACTTAACATAACTAATGTTACGATTACATACTCCACTGAATTTATCTGACAGCTTACATTGCAGTATATGGTTTTACATACAAAACATATAATCAGCTTATAAAATACAGAGCCTTACCATAGGTTAAACTATGCAACAGTATATAAAGGATTTGACATGAGCTCCTAATGCCAACTACACCAGTAAAAAGCCGCTCACATACTAATGCATTGGTAATTACAGTATAATCCAGTCACATAACATACAGTATAATAGTATGACACAGACAGGAGCCACACTCCTTATTGTGTATTTTATCATAATGAAATTCTGTTGACAATAGTCAGGAAAGGTAATTGTAAGATTTTGAAGGATTTTTGCAGGACTGGAGTATTTTTATCATGTGGTATTGATACCTTCACTAAAAATAAATTATCTCTCCATTTCGTCCACCACTGCATAATGCATTAGATTTATTTTATAATGTGGAAAAACATAAATTTCATCTTTATTCTTTGGTTTCATTTCAAGCTAGAATTCTGTTATCAATAATTTCAGGCAGTCAGATGTGAGACTTCCTTTGGTTTGTCCATCATATTATTGATCCAATATTAAAGGGTCCAATAGTAGCATTTTTAACAACAATACAGGAAAACAAACAACATCTGAATAAAGTTTCGTTTTCCACCGGGCTGCAGGTTTGACTCCAAGTGAGGAGTTTGAACTCCACACCGCTTAATCGTCCAATTGGAAATGTAGCTGGTGGGAACTTGTGTTTTGATTGGATGTCAACTTAGTCAGAAGTTTAACCCTTCTGTTCACATTGTCTGTTCTATGTTTTTATTTATATTTCCAAAACCTGATAAAATTTACACTCAACTTAATCTTTTTCCATACACTGCTATTTCTGTTGTTTACTTCCTCGTTATACGTTGTGTGTGTGTGTGTTTGTGTTTGTGTGGTATTGTGCCCACCAGCCTGTGTCCATGTTAATGTTCAGTTATGGGTGTGTGTGTCTCCAGTGTGACATGCAGAAGTTGACAGTGGAGGAGCTCAAGAGGCTTCTGTACGACACCTTCTGCGATCACCTTTCAATGAAAGACATCGAGAACATCATCATGACTGAGGAGAACCACATAGAGAACCCTGAGGACTGCCAGGTGGATATAGACAGTAAGTAAGAACCTCCTTATACTTAACAGACTTCAGCTGTTTGTATTTCTGGTGATTAAAATTTAAATATTTAAAGGGTCACTTCACCCAAGTCACACACACACACACAAATAATGGACCATTTTCAGTTTTATTTGCCAATGTTTTGCCTTATTTGCAGGTCATATTCCCCAGAGAGGAATATGACATTCAGCATAAGACCCACGTGGAATTAAGACGCAGAAGTTGTAGTTATATTGCATGCATCTTAACCTCATATAGGCTAGGCTTTGAACACCACAAATAAATGTAATTTAGTCCTCGGGAATTGTTGGGTCTCTGTAAATAATATAAAGGAGTACAGTCTGGACCTGCTCAGTATGAAAAGTGCCCTGAGATAACTGCTGTTATGATTTGGTGCTACAAATAAAATTTCACTTGACTTGAATTTACTTTTCTTTTATTAAAATCTTAGAGGTGGAAATCTCAAATGAATAAAAATCTAAACTATCTGCCATGTTAAGTGCCATTTTGGGTAAGCGAGGGGTTTATGAATAGGGGAAATTTCTCTTTGAAATACAAGCATTATGGCCATTACAAGCCACATATATAATAATTCATTATGATGGCTGTCAGATGGCTGATCAACATTCCTCAGTTGAATAGAGCATGTCTAATCATAGTAAAATAAATTATTTCTTCTCTTTCATCTTCTCCACACTCCAATTCGCAATATATTAATGATGATATTTTTCCTTAATGAAAACATTACAGATTTCAACCTTAAAAAAAAAACAATCCTCACAATCTGAAAATGTTTCTGGTCCCAATGTTTTGCCCCAACATCCAACAATCACACATGGATCACACAAACCGTGCTGTTTAAACAGCAGAGACACCAATTACTCCACTCACCAGCCTCGATAGATCATAATGTATCCCAGCATGTCATCAGCGGTGTATGAAATGCTGTGCCCTCTTAGGCAGCTGTTATAATTTGAGCAACTGTTCCCTCTCTCCCCCTCTCGCCTTTTCTCCCCACCTGTAAAAATGACTACACTCTTGCTAAAGCTCCAGACGCCCAGATTGAGGGGGATCATCCGCATAGTGATAAAGTAAATTGCACCTCTTTATTACAAAATAACTGGAATTAACTGGAGATGGCAAACTGGTGTCTCAAAGGGCTGGAATCGTCCTTTAATGGGCAATTTACTGAGGGAATTTTGTGGTTTATATGGCTATTTATCTAATGTGTAGATTTAATGACTGGAGCCTTTATAAACCCATTCTATGATTTACAATGAGAAAATCTAATCTTTGCTGTTGGAAAAACACTTTCTGAAGATTGACGATTTTTTTTTAAATATGAGAACATTAATTGCCTCTGGAGGAAATGAAGAAATCCCTTTTGAAATCCCTCCATTTGGACAGAAATAAGGTACAACAGATATGAAAGTTTCTATTTGAACATTTGATTTAGCTTCAGCTGCCTTGCTTCTTACTTCAGATGGTTCTGCAGGTACACTACACCTTCTCTTAGGAGGAGCATCCTTTAATATGCCAGTCAGGTTCTAGTCCATTTTGTTTGTTGTTCCAAAACTCCAATCAACATTTCAATCTAGATGCAGTTACGCAGCATACAGGTGTGAAAACAAATTTTTCTTGGCAGTGTTCCTCCCTTATAATTGTGTTCATGTAATTGTAAGGTTTTGTGATGAGCTCTTTCATTCGGAAATTACTATCAGATATCTTTTTAAGCATTAAATAACACCTGATTCAATGGACCCATTCCCACCTCTTCTTCCTCTCTTCTTTTTTTCCCTCCAGGTTCCAGCCCGACACAGCAAGTCAAGCAGACTTGTGTGCGCAAGAGCCTGATATGCGCCTTCGCCATTGCTTTCATCATCAGCGTCATGCTCATTGCAGCCAATCAGGTGCTGCGGAGCGGCATGAAATAAGAGCTATGGCATTTTCAGCCTTGACCACCACCTAAAGGCTGCCTCACAGATAAATGACTGAGAGATGAAGCTTAAAAACAAAGAAGAAAAAAAAAAAAAGAAAAGAAGAAAAAAAAGAATACAACAGACAATCACACATCAAACATATGACAGCAGTATAACTGGAGTCACAAAGGACACTACATGTGCAGGAATTTGTCTTGGTGACAGAGACATGCTGACAGCTTTCAGAATACCAAGGACAACAGGACCTCACACACACACACACGAAGAGACTGCGGTGTGTTTAAAGTGGACAGCTGACTATACATATCACTCTTCGTAATACAATACATTTACTTTTCATTAGCTATGTGCATTTGAGCAGTGTTGCATTCAGTCTGGTGGCAGCTATAGAGAGAAGTGTAGTGACTGTCCAGTTTTGTATTTGTCCAGTGTACCATGCGGTTTATTATAAACGAGTAGGAAGAAATATCTGTTGAAATATCGAGGGGGGCATTGGAGAAAATATATTCCTGAGGCTAGAAAGTGTTTTGTGCAAGGTCTGGAGTGAACAGTGTTGTGGTGATAATGGTATGTGGTGCAACATTGTTCAAAAACCACTTGGGAATAAGAATAGCCTGGTAAGAAACAGATAATAGGCAGAGTTTGCAGGGAGGTGTGTGCGATTGTGTGGATGGTTTCATTCATTCACAAGCTGCAGGGGTTCAGTCTGAGCAGGATGGAGCAGGGTGAAGCAGGTTAACAGCTCTTGGGAGGAAGGGTGTTCGGGTCTGAATGGACAGGTAACTGGCTGGAAAGTGGCTGGACGTGCAGCAGACACTCAACTCTCTCTGTCTCCACAGCGGGGCTTTGCAGGCCTCAGAGGATGACCATCATCTATGCATGAAGTGCATGGATTTAAACAAGTCGTCTTGACACATTTGTAAAAGTTCTTATCAATGTATTAATCATTATGACTGTGTAAACAGAGCTGTTTTCAATTACTTAATGACAACTGTGAGCAATTGTTTGTGGTGCGGGGTTTCAGCAATCACAACACAAGTAAAAGCATACAACTTGCATGAAAAAGAAGGGCTGCTTTAGTACATGCTCGTAAAAATTATTTTCGGGGATTGCTAAGCTATGGATCTTTCGCCTCGCCGGAGCGTCTGATGATCATCTCTCACTGCCACTGACGAGCCAAACAACTTCAAGTCAACCATTTAAACGATATGCATCAAAACTGATCTAGCTGGTTGTGGGGATACAAATGTGCAGGAAATTATTTTGTTCTTTTTTCTTTTTTTTTTAGATTTTTGTCTGGATGTGTTGCTATAGAGCAATAACTATATGTAAAAATATACATCTAACAATGCTTTGAACAGACAGGAATCTTTAGAAACATGAGCACCAATGGACCTACTATCTGTTGAGGTCAGAAAATTTTCTAATCGCACTTTTCAAATTTAGATTTTGGCAATTCAACAGAGACAGTGGCTCTCATGTTCAAACAGGGAGATACAGAGATCAGACAGATGAGCAGAAACCTGTGTCAGAAGCTGCCCAGCGTATTGAAGCCGGACAGTGGCCAAATGGTGTAACCTGTTGCAATAAAACATTCATATATCTGTGAAGCACCACATGAATTTGATTGAGTGTAGTTTAGATTATTGTGCATGCATCTGGGTCAGGTCTGTCACTAAATGTGTATTGTACATATAAATCCAATTTCAACCAAAGCTTTGAGGAATCTGTGACATCACAACTTGGCCACAAAACAAGAGCAAGCTGACTAACAGCTGATAAAATTAACATTTAAAATTATTGAGAAACTCGAAATCCCACAGAAGTCACTTGCACTTGCTATTTTCTGATCAGTAGACCTTCATCAGGAAAGATTTAATCTCACCTGGAAGCAAGTGAAAAAAACAACTTCAGGGCAAAGACGTGTTTGGAAAGTCAAAAGAACAGAAGCCCTTCAAAATGCCCTCAAAAACAAGACACTGCAATATCGAGATGTGAACAATTCACATCTTATGAGTTTCCCCCCTTTTAGGATTGCTATTGGCAGCTCCCAAAACTTGGATCTCACACAAGAGCCAGGAGCTCACAGAGGCAACAAAATTAGACTACCCTATCGCCCAGAGCCAGGCTGGATAATGATTATCTGATGCACACGGGCAATTTGTCAAAAAGTGTCAAGTCTGTGGGGAAAATACTCTGAAAAAAAGTAAAAAAAAACAAATACCTTTGTTTCCATTTTGCACTTTAAGACGTGCTGCAGCGCACAACGACAGCAACTCACCGCCATGATTGTTCATCCATTTCCTGATATAGTTTAGGCATAAATAATTACTTTACCATAGATTTATCTATTTTTGTGATAAGAATGTGATGGAACAGAATATTAAGTGACTGACAAATGATACTGTCTCATTCGTTTTCTATTATATCAGAGAGGGGGACATTTTCATGGGGAATAAAGTTATAATAATAATAATAATAATAATAATAATAATAATAATAATAATAATAATAACAATAACAATAACAATAATAATAATAATAATAATTTGATTTGTTGCCTTATTCTTTGAAACACTTTGGCATTGTGCATAGACATAAAAATACACAAATCATGGGTTTATTATTCATCACCAGAGCAGAATATGAAAACCAATATTTATTTTCTTTTTACAGATGAAAAAAAAACAACAAAAAAAAAACTGTATGAACTTGTTGATAGTCTACTGAATGTTATATTTCCATTGAACTGTACTTTGATACTTGTCTTTGGATCTTGCAAAAATGTTTGACCATGTGATTATCTGTTCATTGCCTCCACCTGATGTTCTTCTTCTATGTCTGTGGAATGGTATTTCACATGAATTAAAAAAAAAAAAAAAAAAAAAAATCATATACCAACCATTGCCATGTGTCTGAATAGTTTTCGATTTGTCAGATCCTCAATGACATGAGCCTTAGATGGCTATGAAATGCTTGAGGATCAGTCTCACGGTATTGATTGACATCTTGACATTTCAGATTGAAATCCATAGACAGCAATGGATTTTTCGTGGTTCGCTGAGTCCATGGATTGCTTTATTCCATTCGGAGACACCCTTTGGCTTAGCAGTGTTTTGAACCCCATCTGTCACATTTATCCCAACAAAGTCACCTCTTATATCTCTTATGTCCACCAGCAATGGTCAGACTGCTGCAATCCTTGCAATCTAAAAGCAGACTGGGAGATATTATCTGCAACAATAACTCACCAAAAATTGCTGGTTTATATGTACATCATATGTAATTATATCTACCTTAGTTCACCAAGTCACCACTGTACCTTAAATGGTGCATTTAAGGTCTGATATTGTATATATATCATTGTATATGTAAGTGAGATTTCCATGTCTTGATTATAAAGCAGGTCTAGGTTCTACATTAATACTGTGAAAAGTATCAAAGCGCTCAGTCCACAGAGAAATGCACACAGCCTGTATTCAGAAACTGAGCCTTAAAACAAGCCATCAGGACTTCCCGTAACTTTGTGATGTCACAACAAAGCAGTCACCACCCTCTGTCATTCCCCAAGCTCAGCCCACCCGGACCCACCATCCAACCTTGCAGGATTTGGTTTCTGTGAGTGTTTACCTGAAAAACTGCTATATTTTTATTCGATCACTCAGAAAACAGTCAGCCAATCAGAAGAGAGGCTCAGAGTCTCTCTTCTCACCTGTTGTTACCCGAGCACCAGAGAGAAGCCTCAGAGGAGATGTAAACCTACACTGAGATTGTTTTTGGTACTTAAAACCACAAATACATCTTATGGATATCAAAACTTCAAATAAAACACCAGCAAGGTTTAAATATGGGACCTTCAAGCATGAACTGGTGCCATGACAAGCAAAGAACAAAGTATTCCCGACAGCTGTGCCATTCCTTCGAGCTATGGCAACCTGTAAATAAAGTAAGGTGGCTAAATTTAAAAAACAAAAATCTTACACATAACTGGAGTGATAATATTGCATGTACACTTGCTTTTCGACTTCGAAAGGAAACATCAGCCCTTTTTGGTAGTAAATGTTTCGATAATGTACTGTATGTTTATGATGCTGTTCTCTTGCTCACAGCACCATGTTCCGTCCTTGAGCTGCTGAAAATATAAGTGGGTGGTGAGAGGAGATTAGGACTATCTTGATTTGCCAGGAGGTGGACTGGTTTGCGTCCCAGAACTGAGTTTGAGCCAAACAAGCTCTGAATGCTGGAAATCCAACTTGTCTTTGGTGAAATTATTGAATCACTGGCAGTTTTGGCTTTTTTGGTTATATACAGCCTATGTCATAGTGGTAGTAGGACAGGCAGTAGATGCAAATGCTGACACACAACGGCAGGCTGATGCTGTGAAGATACTTTTATGAAGTAAACAAGGCCTATAGGCAGATGGCAGGTGAGCAAGCAGGCAAGGAAAGCAGGAACAGACAACAGGAGTCACCCCACAAGAACCACAAGGGACCTTAACTGGGAACGAAAAGGGCACGATCTGACAAAGACTGTGGGCTGGTATTAATAGTGAAAAGGCTGATTGGGGAACAAGGAGCAGGTGGGGAGAGACCAGGTGACTGCAGGACTGATGAGACGTGGGAACAGGAGTGTGGATGGGCAAGGCAGACAGGTGAATGGGAACTAGGAGAAAAGTGTGAGGACATCTGGTGGGTGAGCAAAGGAAAACAAACAGTTCAGCAGCTTCCAAACAGTTGACATATCCATTTGTTTATTAGAGGTAAAGGTGCATTTACAGCAAAAGTGCACAATAATGCACAGATTTATGTCCAAAGTAAATGTTAAAGTAAATCCAGTTAATAGAACTTTAAAGAGACAACATTAATATGAAACCTTTTTTAAAAAGATGAGTGAAAGGAGCTACTTGTAAGTTTAGCTATTGCTACATCGCCAGTGTTAGCATTAACAGCTGTTTACTAACCAGTCTAGAAGAAATGTTGCAAGTTCAGCATCAG